AGCTGGAGAAGGCCTTCTTACTATGTCAAAACATGGTGGAAAGAGGATGCTGGAAGCAGAGAGAGAGAGAGTACAAGAGAGATTCTTCCCTCTTGCAAACCCATTCTCATGATGCTGGCTTCTATTCATTCATGAGGATACCTCTTAAAGGTCCCACTGCTTAATACTATTAAAACTATAACTAAATTTCATCATGAGTTTTGGAGGAGACAAACAGTTAAGCCATAACAATTTCTGGTGTATGGGGGGTGGGGTGAGAGGAAAGTACAGTATAGATGGTCAACATAATTGCCATCCCCATCCTGGTTTTATTTTCTGCATGAGCTGATTTGTATTTGGAACTTTGTCATAATGTGATAGAATTCTGGAAGGTGTAACATTTAATGTTATCAGCAAAGACCTCTGCATCCGTCACTGTCTTGCTTGCTCTACTTAATGGCTTAGATGCTGATATTCTTCCATGTTTGGCTGCAGTCCTCATTTACTTGGTCTATAGTCTCCCATCATGAAGTCTTCTACTTCTTTTGAGGTTTTGTAACAATGACTACTACCTCCCCTGCTCCACATCTGTATCTCCAGGATGAACAATTTCCTGAACCATTAAGGAGTTTTTGCAACTAATAGCAAAACACCTGCAGAAGAACCTAGGCCCCTCAAAGTCAATAGGTCCCAAAAAAGTTCTTTTCTTCTCAAACCAAACTCTTCCTCCTATCTATCGTCTTTCTTAATAAATTTCTTTATGAAACATCCACATGCTTAAAACAAGAGTCATAAGTTATCTCTAAATCTGTTCCTTTTTTCCTTTCCCAATTGCTCTAACCTACCCCATTCCATTTTGCTGAAAGTTTCCTTACCTCCAGTCTGTCCTCTTCTGGTCTAGCCTCTGCTTTTTCCATTTAGACCCTGTTCATGCCTCTTGACAGCTCTCCATTGCCTATTATCTAAACTCTGCAGTGTTATTACATAAAATGTTCAGAACATTTTATGGGTGCAACCTGTTACTCCCATCTCCATTTTCCCTATACACATTCAGCATTCTAGCTATAATGCAATCATGGTTCACTAATATGTTCCACATATCTCTCAGTCAGGCTCCCATTAGAAAACTGAAACCATGCTAGGTATTTCAACAGAGGAAATTTATTAAAGGAAATGGGTAGAAAAGTGTCTGAGGATCTAAAAATGAAAATAGGACATCTAAAGTAACTTTGAGACAGTAACTGCTCACACAGGCAGAGAATTTCACTCTGGGTTGAAGGATTACAGGAAGGAGGATGGGGTTTTCAAAAAGTAAAGGTTTGGACAAGAGACATCATAAACGTGGGTACTGCACCTCTGGGGGGGGGATAATATCTGGCTGCTGCCTGTTCCTTTGAAATGCTGAGCAGAGGCCCGTTGAGACTGGGGCTCAAGCCTCTGGGAAAGGGTTGCTGTTAGGCTGGTCCCAGAATTTTCAAGAGTGAAATGAAACCATTTCTGAATATAACTGAGCACCGGAACCAAATGCTGCTGTGGTCATGAAGGGCCATTGCTGGGGCACTACTTGTTAGGAAGAGCTCTCAAATAGGATCAAGGAAATGTCCTCCTTCCTCCTTCCTTCTATGTTCCCTCTAATGCCCCTTATTGGTGGAATCCAGCAGACACCTATAGGGTGCTGGTTTCAACATCAGAAGGGTGGATTTACAATTCAGAGACTATTGATTAACACCCATGAAAGCACTTTGACATCTCCTTGCCTTCACTCATACAATATCCCCATCCATATGCTCTTTCTACCTGTATCCGCCTGATGTACATCGTTATTCAAATATATTTTTTATATAATCTTCCCTAATCTCTCCCAAAGCAATTATTTATACCATCATTGGAGTTCCCCTAGAAGTTTGCAAGCACTTTCTTTGAATTCTTTTTTTATCACATCATAATATCTCTGTTTATGTTTGTTTATTTTCCACCAAACAGTGAGCTCCTTTAGGGCAATTAGAATTACAACCATAAAATTTAGCAGGATGGATGGCACAAAATAGACATTGGTTGAGCTGGATGGAACTGATAAAGGCATTTTAATGAAGCTAATATTAGGCCATTTCTTATATATATTTTATCCTCCCAACCAAGGTGATTTCCCTAAAAGCAGAGATCATGCTTTGTATTTCTTCTATTTTCTTCATGATATTTAGTACAGGTTTTAAATGCTGAGGAAGAGCTCAGTGATATTTAACCACTGATTTTATGTATTAACCAACACAATTTTGGTACAAAATGACATGAAGATGGAGCAGAGGGTTAAAAAATCCAGGTAAGAGATGTAGTTAGGTTTAAATGTGCTTCTAGTGTGTGATTTCAACACAGAAGCTGTGCATACAGTAAAGCTCTGCGTGTATTGAACTTTAAGACGAACATTCAATCAAGAAATGAAATGTTTTATAGTGAATTCTAAAGTAATAAAATATATTCTATGTTTCATTTTATTTATTTATTTTTGGACTGGGAATGTAGTTCAGTAGTAAATTTCTTAACACTTGCCTAACAAGTGTGAGACCCTGGGTTTGATACCCAGTATCACAGGGGAGAAAAATTCTATTTATATGCTATAGAAAATATATTACCCAAATCTATGAGATGATTAATCCTGGGCTACATCTGTTCCTCCAATATTTATCAAATTTCTCCCAACCATCAAAATCAACTAGTAAATGTAGGGAAGGTATTGCATTTTGACTTAATCACCAGCTTCTCAAAAAAAGAGGAAAAAGTAAACCTCTGCTCAACAACTAATTTACATTCAATTCCAAGAAGAAGAAAAATTGCTTTTTTAAAAAAAGAGGAGTGATATTTAATTAACTATTGATTTGTTCTCAATTATTCAAGGCAAGCAATTATCGATATTGATGGAGCAGATATTTTCCTACATCAAGTACCCAAATGAAAGGAAGTATCCCATTCAGCAATCTGCTGCCCAGAACAAGAGCACTGAGAATCTTTAAAGGGAAACAGTTATTTGCATCTGTTTATTCCATGTTGCCCCAATTAAGTAGATAGTTCTTGAAGTGTAAGCAAAACAAAATCCTGAAACCCTATGTATGCTTTCCAGATTAACAACATCCAAAAAAAAAACGATGACTTTTGTCAGTTTTGTCCATGGGGCTAACCACACCATACATGGAGACTTTGCTTCACAGCTACAGATCTTGACATTTATAACTACGATTCTTAAAATATTATAATTTGGGTCTAATATTTATTATTTCTAAGCCAGCCAATGAGAGGTAGCTTATATGGTCAAAAGAACCCATGGGTCACTGCTTTTTTTTTTTTGTTGTTGTTGTTGTTGTTTTGGTATCGTTCAAGAATTTAATAGCCTTTAACAGTCAGTCACTCTTGAAATTTACAAATAGTAAGTGTGGATACATTTGAAAGTTTTACCTAGCATTATGCAACTGTCTTAGAGGTCACAAAGAAGCTGTTGAAGAAGGGAATCAAACAGGGTCCTATTGAGGGCACTTTGTTTTTAGCTCTGTGGTTACCCACTGCCACCTTTTGTCAGTTCATTTGCACACAGAACATTAGCATGTCTGTGAGTAAGAAGCTTCTTTTGAAGGTGACAGAACTATTGAACATGATTAATGGACAATGCGACATTCACTATTGAGTTATTACTTAAAGGGTTGAGATTACCTTTAAAAACCAGTCTGCAAAAAAGAAAAAAAAAGAAAGAAAAGAAAACCCAGTTTGCACTCAATAGCAACATTAGATCAGTGAGTGTGTGTATGTGTGTGTGTGTGTGTGTGTTCACACGCATGTGTGTATAGTTAACTCATGTGGCATCTCTGGGGAAATTTGACCATGACAGTTTGTTAAATGAAAAAAGAATGTTATAATTTATAAAAAGCTGCTTTTTCTGCTCTGCTCCCACCTGCCCCTCACCCCTCAGTCCAGAGTGGTCTATATGTTAAGTGCTTAAGCAGCATTTGTTGCTGGGAAGTGTTCTTGGCTCTTTTATTCGTTGTTGTTGTGTTAATTTCCCTGGGTTCTATTTAACATTCTGCTAAATCAGTGAAACCTTGATTATCTAAAGGAATATGAGACATAGGATTAATGAGAATAACTAGAGCTTTCAAGATATAAGAAATTATTAGAGGTAAAGTTACATGACAAAGACTGTGAATGAATTTTAGTATCAAAAAGCTTGGCTGGTTTTATTCAAACTGATTCTATTAATTGATGGATGAAATGAAATTTTGGTAATCAGGGTTTCACCATTGCATTTATTACTATTCCCAGAAAACTAGGTAACCTTGGGCTCCACTTCCCATATTTACAAGGTGATAAAAATCCTAATAGGCTGTCAGGGACAAAAGTGACTGCTCTTCCTCACACCCCTCCCATGAAACAAGCTTTCCCTCTTCCCATCTGGCTGCTGCTTGCCTGGAGCATGTACTTTCACTACATCCCCAACCCTCATCCCCATGCTTCCCCTGGGCTCTGTCTGCATGTGCAGCTGCTGGAATAAGAAGTGGGGAGAATGGCCCACTCCCCAGAGGTTCTTGGTCACTTTAGCAATACTGCTTTGCATTCTAAATACCACTCATCTGGCTTCAAAGCTGTGCATTCTTGTATCCAGCACTTGTCCTTTAAAAACCCAGGAGGTCACAACAGGTCCCAGTTCCATGAAGAGAAGATAACTGCCAAACCAGGAGTATTGTATTGTTTTGCATTCAAAAGCCTGAAATGGACAATGATAATATCCAAGATTGCAGCAAAAATCTATATGAAAAGGACTAATATGATAAAAACAAAGGCAGCAAACTACATTTGTTTGGAAAATTGGAGTCACATGCTTACTTTGTGAAGGGGAGGGGGGAGCACAAGATCGATGGAGTTTTTGTGTGTGTGTGTGTTTTTTCTTTTTAAAGCTGAAAACATGATGTACCAGATGAACTTAAATTGATTCTGCCTCTCTCCCCGCACCTCCCCCCACCCTCCCCCTCATTCTGCAGCGAATGTCTGCGACAACGAGCTCCTGCACTGCCAGAACGGGGGGACGTGCCACAACAACGTGCGCTGCCTGTGCCCGGCTGCATACACTGGCATCCTCTGCGAGAAGCTGCGGTGTGAAGAGGCGGGCAGCTGCGGCTCCGACTCCAGCCAGGGGGCGCCCCCGCAGGGTTCCCTAGCGCTGCTGCTGCTACTGCTGCTGACCACGCTGCTGGGAACAGCCAGCCCCCTGCTGTTCTAGATGTCGCATCCAGCCATCGGACAGGCCTGTGCCCTGGGGAAGCAAACACAACCCAAGCATTTGCTACTAACATAGGAAACATAAACACACCCCCCACTCAAAACACAGCGTACAAACTAAGAAGGCCTAACTGAACTAAGCCATATTTCTCAGACGTGGACAGCACATCGGAGTCAAGACTGTTAATTTCTGACTCCAGAGGAGTTGGCAGCTGTTGATATTATCACTGCAAATCACATCGCCAGCTGCAAAGCTTACTGCGGATTGGAAAGGCTGTGACAGCCCCCCGCCCCCAAACAGGAAAGACAAAAAAAAAAAAAAAAATTGCTACTCTAACTTGGTGCGCCCTCGTACCGCTCTGCCCGGTGTGTGGACCAACCAAATAGAAGCATTCTTTGCTGTCAGGTGCATTGTGGGTATAAGGAAATCTGTTACAAGCTGCCATATTGGCCTGCTTCAGTCCCTGAATCCCTTCCAACCTGTGCTTTAGTGAACGTTGCTCTGTAACCCTTGTTGGTTGAAAGATTTCTTTGTCTGATGTTAGTGACGCACACGTGTAACAGCCCCCTCCAGAAGCGCAAGCCAGTCATACCCCTGTATATCTTAGCAGCACTGAGTCACCCAGTGCGAGCTCATACCCACTACACAAGAGTGGCTATAGGAGAAAAGAAAGTGTATCTATCCTTTTGTATTCAAATGAAGTTATTTTTCTTGAAATACTGTAATATGTAGATTTTTTGTATTATTGCCGATTTGTGTTACCAGACAATCTGTTAATGTATCTGATTCGAATCAGCAAAGACTGACATTTTATTTTGTCCTCTTTCGTTCTGTTTTGTTTCATTGTGCAGAGATTTCTCTGTAAGGGCAACGAACGTGCTGGCATCAAAGAATATCCGTTTACATATATAACAAGTGTAATAAGATTCCACCAAAGGACATTCTAAATGTTTTCTTGTTGCTTTAACACTGGAAGATTTAAAGAATAAAAATTCCTGCATAAACAATTTCAGGAATTTGTATTGCGATTTCTTAAGATGAAAGGAACAGCCACCAAGCAGTTTCACACTCACTTTTACTGATATCTGTGTGGACTGAGCACATTCAACTGATGAATTTAGTACCCAGGAAGATGGATTGATGTTCACTAGCCTGGACAACTTCTACAAAACATGAGACTATTGCCACTTGGGAAAAAAATTATAACAGCAAAAAAAAAAAAAAAAAAAAAGTAAATAAAAAAATAAATAGAAAAGAAAGAAAAATATCTAACTGATTGCCAAGATTATGCCAAAGCCTGTTGGCAGAGTACTGAGAGACTTTTATTTTTGAGTCATGCTATTTTCAGATTGATGGTGATCATGTGACTCTAGGGATGCTGATCTATGTATCTTTCCAAATACAGTGTTTACATGGAGTATCATAAGAGGCCGCCTGGGGAACCAGGACAGTAGCAGGGAAATTGAGTGATTAGCAATTTGACTTTGAATATATTCAGACTAAGTATTTAAATGAAATATCAAAATATACAGCAGCAACTAGACATAACTGCTGTTTCTGAGAATAAAGTTTGCTTTAAGTACCACCCAAGGTGTAATAAATTCTTGTTTCTGCCTTTTATTAGGCCAATTACTGTGCAAGACAGCAAGTAGAGGCAGGTGGGAAAGAACCTCTGCAAAGGTTCGAAGAGGCTCAAACAGTGCAGATTCCATTCATGGCACACTGTTGTCCTGCGGGTTTCAGATGTGTTAGCAGCAGCACCTCCTGGAATCAAAAACAATTATCAGCCCTGAGTCTTGAGGACAATGAAGTCCTACATGACTTGGTAGAGCAATAACCTACGGCAGTGTTAGGTCCAGTCTCGATTCTTAACTCTGCTGCCACTCCTTGCGAAACAGGGAACGTTTTTCTGATAAATAACCTGAGTCAAAACTAGATGAAGGAACAGCATGTCTTATTGGTTTTGTTCCCAGAAAAGCCAATTCAAAAAAGGCAATAAAAGGTAAACAGGTAATGCCTGTCCTGCCTGCCACCCCATGTCTAAGTCGATTGAATGTTTGTTATTCAAACCAACAGTCTCTTTTGATAGAAGAAATAAGAAAAGATGGAAATAAATTAGAGCTTTGGCTTAGTGCCAGAGTGGCCAACCAGAAATTGGAGATTTACATTAGAAGCATAAACAGAAAATTATATTTCAGGCTCACCAAAGAATACACATGAAAATTCTGCTAACATACAGAGTTTGATATTACTTATAATGAGGTGGATTTCTAATATTAAAATTGGAATTTAAGTTGTCTTATACTTTATTAGCACAAACCAAAGGCAGACTGTGTTATTTCTGGCAATGATGCACTTTATCATTATCCACTGATGGCTTTGTCACAATGCTCAGGAATCAGACACTGCACAATTCAATATGTGGGATTCCAAAAGCTAATTCTAAAATTTAATGAAGGTCTGATCTAAATCAATTCATCTGCATTTATCTTTATGAGAGTATAAGAATCTAAATTGATGAGGAATATCTTGTGTTCAGTGTATTTAGATGTAGTTTTCTGAATATCCTGAAGTGATGTGATCTGCCTTTAATAAAAATTTCACTTTTAGGTATATAACAAATGGAAATGAAATGTTCTTTTTAATCTGGATTCTCACGTTCTTTTGAAAAGCCTATTCCTTTGAAGAAACCCCAACTTAGTGGATTTTACTTATCTGCTGCTTTCTAGCATCCTTTCAAATCTGTTTTCATCTACAGTTTTATGTCCCAAGAACAAGGTTGGGATAAAGAGAGGGTACTGAGTTTTCCCTCCATCTTAGATCCTAGTTCTTGCTCTGTTTCTACTTGGATAGGTACATAGTGGTGGGATAATATAGTTTTGCGTATGAGTTCATCTGTTAACAGTTTCACATAGTGAAAATATGATTCTATCAATAGTACTGATGAATATAAAATTTCAAAAAAATGGGACAAAGGTTCAGCTATATAGAGAGTGTTGCTATTTATAGAAAAAATGATGAATCTTCCCTGCTGTGATATGGCAATGATTCATTTCAGACCCTGTACATGGCCGTAGGGAGAACCTAAGTTTGCTAAGTCCTGGCAAAGAGGGACCCTTGCTTAGAGGAGCCCAGACTCACCTTCCTCTAGCTTTGTCCCTGTCACTTAGCCTACCCAGGTAGCCTCCATCCACTTTTTGGGCATGGTGAGCTTTCTCTGGAGGTCCACACTCCTAAAAGTAGGCAGCATCATGATTGCACACCCTGGACATGAGGGGTGGCAAAAAGTCATTCAGGCCTGGAGGCCCAGGCCTGGAGTATTCCCTGAGGAATGCACATGTGACCGAGGAGAGACCCCCTTCAAGTGAAACCCAGAGCACCAGAACATGGGCCTGGAAGAGGCAGGGTTGAGGTGTGGAGGGGAGATATTGATCTTGGAGCGGTGTAAGGATTCTAAACCTATTTCTGGGCTTTCAACAGCAATGAAAACATATGTGTCAAAGTAGCCAAATTGGATATTTTATTCATAAGCACTCTGTTAGCTTAATGTGTAATTTCCAAACATTTAGGCACATGACAAGTGGGCCTCCATTAATACTTTGGCCCTGGGCTCTGTAAATGTTTGGGGTGGATCTGCCCAAGGTGTCCTCGAGTTGGGTCCCTAAAATGGCACCAGACATTGGCCCAGGTAATACAGAGAAGGGTACTGGCTGGAAGAAGGGCACTGACCACACCCGACTCTCCCTGCCATTTGTGCTCTGCCTCACCCTGTCTTGAATCTCTGAGTTTAAATACTTTCAGATGAACTAGGGGCAGCTGTGAGGAAATCCTGAAATTAAATCTTTTGTTCCTTCTCCTTCACTCTCCACCATCAATAACTCAGCAACATTGGGATGTGAAGACTTAGCATTCTGAAATGGGATGCTCTTTGCTATGTGGAAAATGGGTTGTTGTACTTTACTGTTGTTAATCACCAAATAAAATATCTATTTAACAGTTTCTCTGCTCACAGGATTGAGTAGGATATGTGTGGACTTCAAACTGTGTGTTTTCTATACATGTGTCATGTCTGGACTTCTATATGTGTTTATGATCCATATGATTTAAAGCTTCAGTTTCAGGAGTCTGAACTTGGATATCTTACCTGCCACTTTGACTCCAAGCATTTATTGATAAGGCTAATGACTAATGCACAGCTTGAAACAATAAGAACAACCAGGTGAAACTCTAGATTTGTTTTTTTTAAAGGAAATCCAATTGGATGACCTTTATAATATATAGGAATAAAATATATAGAGATAAGAGATCAAAACCCTGGGGGTTTGATTCAAATGTCTAGTCATGAACAACTCTGTTTGCCTCAAGAAATAAGCAGTAGGTTCTAATCAATCTTGTTTCTAAGAAATATCAAATATCCATCTGATATAAATATTCTGATAGTTCTGACCATTTCTATAGAGAATGATTTCTTACTTTTAACTGTAGTTTTACTTTCTTACAATAAAATTATATTTTTCCTATAGTTACCTAAAACAGATGCCAACAAATTCCCCACATAAGCTAACATAAATATAATATGATGTCAGGAATGATTAGGAGTGACAATGTTCATATTTTGAATGGGAACATGGAGAACTTTTACTCTTCTCAACACCTGGAAAGGTGTGACTCACATTTTACCATATTCATTATGGATTTGAAGAATCAAATAAGAAGCAGACATATCTCTTGTATAAATCATATTATTGTACTTAACTAGAAATGAGAAAATAACATCTGTGAAAAACACTTGAATATTGAATAAAATGCAGTTATTTGAGATCTGTTGTGGAGAAAAATTCTTCCCCCCAGTACATTTTTAGAGTAGGTTCTAAAGAAAGTCTAGCAAGATGATTCAAATAATTTTCAGGGATGATGTTTTTCAATAGTTGAGCATTTAATAAATGCTGGAATCCCCCTCTGCCTTCTCCCATCGCCCAAAAGTTGCTTTGAATTGATGGGCAAATAAAATGAAGTAGTAACATTTAAAATTATGTGATGTTTTTATTAACCTGAAATGATAGCTGGTAAAATGGGCCATTATTCTGCAAAACCTAATTATGTTAACACTAAAGATTTAGGTTGGCTGGCTGAAGCAAACTGCAGAGGATTGGAAGTAAAAATAATCCCCCATTTTCTTAACTTGGTCCCCATTTTCTCAGTTGCAACACTTTTTAACTATTATTTAATTGGTGAACTACGAATTCTACAAGGAAAAATTACTGACTAGAAAGAAAAAAAAATAATTACTACCTCTCCAACATCTGTCTGAATACATTCTGAAATTTCTGCATGGCAAGAATGTGTCAAGTTACCTTAAAGACATAATGTACCACCCTTGTATCCTCCAGCCGGCCTGATAGTACCACATTACAGCTTGGCTTTTACAAGGGGCAGTCATTCTAATCTAATAAAAGAAAGAAAATGGCAGAAAATCACACACCTGAAGTCCTGTTAAGAATAGGTGATTCTTTTTGCCCCAGGCAGGCAAGAACATAATGTCATTTTTGTTCGTTTGTATTTGCTCTCAGAAGGAGGGCTGCTCCTGTTGGGGAACGGTTTTCCCTCTGCCACTGAGAAACACTGCAAGCAAACATCCTCCAAGGAAATAACATTTTGCTATTTACCAGTCTTGACTACCCCATGAAGCCCTGAGTAATTGTTTTGGCTTTCATGGTGTGATAAACACCTAGAGGCAAAGAGATTAGTGTCATCGCTCTCAGTCTCTTTTTCTCTCTCTTTGGGGAAAAAAAGTGGGGGGGATTGCTGCAAATATAGTATGACAACATTTGCAAGAATCTTTCAGTCCGTTGACATGTAATTATGAAGACCCTAGCTAAATATTCAGTTTATTAAATTAATAGCATGACAAGTATTGGAGCAGTTTTACAACCACTTAAACCCATGCTTACATCCTGTGTAATTACAATTCATAATTGGGAAAGCAGTCAAATCTAAATGCATTCTG